GAATATTGTAAGATCCATCCACGGGTTATAGAGGTGAGCCCACCTCTACTGACCATGGCTCCTGCGTCTCCATGAGACGGTCTGAGAGGCAATAGTTTGTATTCTCATGCTTTCCCCTGCTGCCTTACATGGCATTAACATTTTTTAAAATGTAAAGACTTGAGAAATAGAAATATTATCTCTCATTACCAACTATCCAGTCATTTATCATCAACTTCTTCCCTGCCATTGATTTCAGTGCATGTAATGCTGTAAAGTAAAGCTCATAGATATGATTTTCCTCAATTGATGTGCCAAGTGTAGAAAACAATGACCGTGAATGAAAGGGAAATTTCCTTTTTTAAAAAGTGATTTATAAATAACAACATGTCTTTTCATTATAGTGTAAGCTTCAAGAGACTGTTCACTGCAGTATCTCCAGGATTGAGAACAATGAATTAAATATACATATTAGCCATTAAATAAATATTTGTTAAAAGAGCAATGTTCTCTGACCCTCTATAGAACTACTGCATCACATGGTTCATAACATGGCATAATTTTTTTATATATAGCCATGTTTCTCAACAGTAGACAGCAAGAACCAGGGAGGGATAATGTCCGTCTTGTACACCATCATATTCTTAGAGCCTGGCAATACTTATGTACACTACACTAAAGTTGAATGAATGGAAGAAAGGTCTACATTGTATCTTATTCCTCTATCATCCTCAGTAACTAATCATATGAGGCATGTGGCTTGACTCCCATTTGATTAAGAATGTGCTTGGAAAAATGGACGTATACTTAATGGCTGCGTTGAACTAAGAAAATGCTGCAGAGGCAGGTGTGCTCTGGAGTGCTAGCCCGTCTCTCAGCTCAGACTGGCTGGCCCATTGATGTGGCTTTGGAGAAAGCTTAGGTTTGGATGCTGGTGTTCTTATTAAACACCAGTTAATGCCTTTTACCCCTCCTATCAAGGAGGGAAAACTATAGAAATAACAAAATTAAAGCTGTAGTTTCTGTGGTATCTCATTAACTGAGTCAGGCCCATGCAAACTTGTCCATCACCTGTTACTTCTGTGAAGGAAGTCTGAAAATACACTTAAGTTGTTTTGGAGACTATCCCTATCTCCCACAGCAGTGAAAGATTAGGTCAATTTGATTGATGCTGGAGAAGCTGGAGTCTGGGAAAGAGAATACTACAGAAACCTTCATCCCCTTAGATTAGTAGGTCGGCAACTGGCAGGACTTAGAGAAATCTCACTAAGCTAAATATCTTTCCTTAAAAAAACCCTGAAGTTTAAAGTACCAGACCCTGTTCTTTCTCCCAGGGACCACTGACCTCTACTCCCACTCCCAACAACAAAAACCAAGTGAGACAAACTTGAATTCACATCCTTGCTCTGTCATTTGCTAACTGTTAACTGAGGCAAGCTACTTAATGCTCTAAGCCTTAGTTCCTCATTTTTAAAATGCAGATGACAATATGACTGTGTACCTTGCTGGATTCTAGTGGGAATTAGAGTCTATAAATATACACATAATGTGTAATGAGGACTATCTTCATAATCTCTAATCCTCATTATAAATTGCTTAGCAAAGAGCCATAATAGGTACCCCATGTGTGGTAGCAGCAATTAATAGCATTCTAATCATTGCTGAGAATATAAAAACAGAAGTTGAGCTGCACAGCTATACTCTCATATTGACTTAACCTCTGTTGTTCAGTTTCCCTATTATCAAATGAAAATAAAAATACTTAATATTATAATTTATTATAAAGAAATACATGGAAAGAAATACATAAATGTGTTCAACTTATGAATGGCAATCGTTGTGGTGCTGGTTCATTTTCCTACACCTACTAAAGAACTTGGCCTAGTGATAGTCCACTGTGAGAAATGAGTTGATTTGGTGACTGGTTCCAAGGGGAGATCAATTCTTCCTTTCCTCCAGACATCTGGACCTTTTCTTCTCCTTCCTGATGAAGCGCTACACCCTCATCATTTGGAACCCCACAGGTAACATGTATCGTCTCCTTTACTGCTCCCCATAAAGAGGAACAGAGCGGCCTTGGCATTATCTTTTTAAAACTCCAAAACTGGAAACATTTAAATGAGTATTTTTCAAGGTGGTCAATGTTTGATGCTGCAGACGTATTTTAAAGAACTAGGAACCATTCAAAAGTGATGTACTACATTGATATATCATAGGCACTAAATAAAACCTTACTGAATTGAATTACAATTAATTTTAAGTGGTATATATTTTAATTAAGCAATGCATATTTGAAATTAATTAATTTTATAGGCTAATATACTTATTGACTATTAATTCTTAAGAGCTAAGTGTTATTTGGCAATTTTAAAAGCTATGCACACTATAGAAAATAACTTCAAAGCTACAATATTGGCCCTTAAAAGTTTTTAAACATTTTAACTGTGTATTGCTCTGATGATCTTTGTGACAGCAGGAAAGACATATGATTATTGTGAAATCAATGAGTCAGACAATGGACACAGTGAAACACAGAAGACACTATGCAGAATGCTCACTGTTGCTGTTGAAAATGATTTATGATTGTGATTAATTGCTTTTGAAATTTTGATCAAAATTGATCTGTCCAATTTTCTGGCACTGGCTCTGTACGTCAAATCTTACCCTGGAATTACATAAATCAATTTAGTCTAGACTTCTGTAAAAAAACTAGGGGGAGAAAGATAGAAGTAATTTCTGAGTTGTCAGTGACAGATGGATGTTCTGATTTCATAGTTTTAGTAAAGAAAAGGTCTTACCGTAGCTGTCATAGGCATCCTCACTTACTCCATGACCGTAGTCATAATACTCAGGCACACTGCAACAGATTTAGACAGCAATCAATGTTACTGTAATCAAGAGGGGCCAACCCAGAAACTCATATGGAATTTGAAAGCAAAATGTGTGCTAAAGTAGTATCTCAAGAACCTCTAGGCATAAAACACAATCTTAAAGAAAAAGTAAGAAAAATACAGGTTATTGACAAGGAGGGCTATGATTTTCTCAAGCCACCTCAGTATTTCTTTATCTCTATCCTCCAATTTATTAATCAAATTTCCCCTAAAATGCAAGTATAATAACTTCAATATTTGTCAAGATGAGAGTTATCAAAGGTCTATTTACGAGAAAAAAGAGTGCTATAGAAGATGACATCTGGTCAATTGTATATGGCTTTTAATACTGTTTCTTTAAGAAATATGCATCAATTTTATCTTCACTTTCAAACACTGAAATTATATTCATACTTCTCTTTAGCCTTTCACAGTACATTCATGCATTTCTCAAATATATAAGCTATTTTTTTACTTAACGGTTTATTAGACACGTCCACATTTTAGTAACTGAGATATAGGTCAGGTCTTCTTCCTCCCTTTCTTACTCAAGTTACTTAAAATCTTCCCTCACTGCAATTGTCATCACTTTGTCCTACAGCAACAGTTTCCCCCTTTAAGGCACCATTCCTATTAACATCCAAGCATCTTATGTATCTCCCATTCTCAAAAACCCCTCCTTAACCCCGAGATCTCTTTCTAGCAACTGTCCCTTTCTCTGCTCCTTTACTGCACAATTTCTTGAAAAGAGGCGACACTTTTCACTCGTTTTCACTGCCCCTCCTTTCATATACTTTTGAAGACATTCCAGTCAGGCTGTTTTCTCCACTGAAACAGCTCTCGTCAATATCTTGACATTTTCAAATCCAGTGGTCAAGACTTGGTCCTCATTTGACTCGAGCACCAGTTAACAGTTGATCACTTCCTGTTCTTTCAAACACTTCAGTTGCTTCTGAGATGGCTTTCTCTCTTGGATCTCCTCAGCTCATTCCATTTCCTCATACTTCTCTACTGGTACCTCTTTATTTTTCCAGCCACTTAATCCCAAAGGCCATGGGGGCTCAGTTATTAGAATTTTTCTCTTTTCTATTGATACTTACCCCTTAAGCAATCTCATCTGATCCTATGACCTGAATACCATCTCTATTCTGATGACTTCCAAATTCTATGCCTAGCCTTGGAACCTCCCTCTACCCTGGTCTCATATATCCAGTTGCTTTCTCTATATTTCCATTTGGATGTAAAATTTAACATATCCAAATATAAAATTTGATTTTCTTTTCAACTCAGACCTGTTCCTGAATGCCTCCCTCTCATCTTTACTAAAGACAACACCTTAAATAGTGTTACACAGAAAACTGTCCTTTCTCTCATATCTAATCTTTACTCCAACAGCAATTTCTCTTCCTTCCACTTGGAAAACATATCCAGAGTTTGAACATTTGGAAACATCTCCACAGCCCTGATGGTGGTTAAAGTTTCATCATTTCTCACTTCACCAAATACAGTATCCTTCTTACTGGTCTCTGGGCCCTGCTTCCTTGGTTTCTATTTTCCACTTAGCAGGCAAAGTAATTCTTATAGAAGTAAATTAGACCGTATTAGTGCTCTATTCAAAACCCATCAATAGATTCCCATATCCTTCTGGGAAAAAATTTAAAAACTCTTATTTTGCCTCCACACATTGGCCCCTAGTATTTCTTAGACCTCCACCACTTTCCTCTTTGCTCACTCTCTCAGGGTACTTTGGCCTCCTAACTGTTCCCTGATCATGACAAACACATTACTGTCTCAGCACCTTTCTATCTGCTATTCCTAGTACCTGGAACATGTTTTTCCTAAACATTTAGTTGTGTCTTCTCTCATTCTTTCAGAACTCACTCCAGTGTCATTTATGAGAGGTTTCTCTCACTAATCTATTTAAACTAGCATTCACTCATCCTTCCCTTGCTTTGTTCATCTTAGTGTTTATCAATCACTACTGTACTATTATATAAACAAACAAACAAACACGTTTCTTTGTTTACTTACTGGCTGTTTCCCAGTTCTAGAATGTAAAAGCTCCCTAATATAGGACTTGGTCTCTCCTTTGTTCACTTGCTCGCATTCTTCCAGGATGATTGGTTACAACAATGCTTGGCACATGACAGCTGCTCAATAAGTATTTATGAAATAAAGGACTGAATTACTCAGAGGGAGATTAGACACTATTTTATAGGAGTAGCCTAGTATAACCAAGTTATAATTTTCTAAAATATTTTATAAAAAGTGGAAACTATTTTAATTGAGCTTAGTATTTGGATAATTAATGCATTTTAAAAATCTTACTTAGGGATCTATAAATATTTATGATACACTGTATTTTCCCCTCAATACACTCCTTTCCCTTAAAGTCCTCTGCCTAAATCTTAATTTATAAATTTACATATACATTAATTTATATTTATAAATTATTTCAAGATTACTAATTACTTTTAAGCATATAAATGTGTGGCAAGGAAATGGCTTTATACCAAATACCAAATTGTATAAGAGGTGAGGGTGTGCTATTGAAGCCAAAGACTTAAAATAGAAGGAAAGAGGGCTGGCTGAGTGGCGCGATGGTTAAGAACTGGCTTGGGATGCCAGAGGGCCCTGGTTCGGATCCCACATATGAGGGCCAGTGCCACTGCCCTCCACAGCTAAGATGCTGAACAACAACTCAACCTGGAGCTGGGCTGCCATGAATCGCCGGTGATGGCCTAGGCTGCAGCCCCTGTGGCAGTGGGTTGCCATGGGCTACCGTGTGTTGCTGGCAGCCAGCGTGAGTGACTCTCAAGCCGCTGTGAGCGGCCGTCCAGAAGCCGGCAACTGATCTGCCTCACCCGGAAAGAGCGCAATGATGGTGCCAACTTGTGCCAGTGAAGCAACGTCCTCCACAAATAGACTGAAGAACAAAAGGACAGCAACTTGTCTGTTCCCCTTCCTCCAATTCCCCAGCATTGTTCCCATCCCCCCAATTCCCCAATAAAAATCTTAAAACAAAAAATAGAAGGAAAGAAAGAAAAGCCTAAAATTATGTGGTTGTCATTATCCCTCAAGGCAATTTTATATGTCTCATTATATTAAATATTTGAGATTTCATTGATAGTAAGGAAAGAGAAGCAGAAAATAAAACAAAACAGTCTACATATTAGAGACAAAGAAAGAGACAAAGAAAAGTTTGCCCATCTTTATCTTTCTACGAGGCAATTAGTAGTGCACTAATTTAATTCTTGTGTAAAGTCTAGGGGGGAAAAGAAAAGATTACCTAGCCCAACCTTAATCACCCAGGAAAAACTACCTAGGAAAAAAGTATGGCAATATGTTCTTCTCTCCATCTTTCTAGTGGCTCGAGATTATAGAAGTCTCAGGCCATGGTGCTGGCTGGATGTTCATCTCTTCTTTCACATACTTATCTAAATAGAAATGATGCAACCCAGTTGAGAACCCTGATATATGTGTAACAAATTCCTGAAAGTTGTTACATTGACATCCTGGATGATCAAGAAGTGGCAGTCCCGAGAATATAATTTAACAAGCAGCATTCCCTTTTATAGGAATGAAGAGAAAAATGAGCGCATTGCTTCTACCTGCCTTCCTCACAATCGATCATTTTTCTGTCTGATTACATTTCAGCCTGATTACATTCCCCAAGATGTGCTGTATGAAGACCAGTAGCCCCAAACACTATCTACTGGCATTACTATATTTCTCATTGGATTTCCTTTTCATTTTAATTGATGAAGGTAAGAGAGAGAAAAAGAACAGTAGTGAGAACACTCATGACAAAGAAGCTGCACTGATTGTCTATCATAAATGATACATGCACACCAAGACAGAATTTTAACTTTCAGAACTCTAAAAGGGGAAGTGGAACATATCAGATATTTGTAAGATAATAGATAATGCAAAAATAATAGAAAATAATTGTAATAGATTCTTCTTGGGTCCATACCTTTGCTTATCCAACTATTACTTCTCACTTCTTTCATAGGAAGATACATTACATGGACAAAATGTACACTCCTCAGCCACCCTTGTAGCTAGGTGTGCTCTGTGACTAAGTCAGGAAACATGGGATGTACACAGAAGTGAGAGTGGCAACCTTGAGGTCGTTTCCAATTTAAGAAGAAGCTCCTCATCTTGGACTTGTGCACCATCACCTCTTTCATTGGTAGAATGCACTCAAAGTGATGAAAGGCATCTACCATGCAAATAAAGACAATGCCTCAGGAGGTCATGGACCACAACATGGGAGGAACGTGTCTAGCTGATCACATTGGAACAGACTTACTCTCAACCACTGCTTACCTTAGGAATTGTTATGAGAAAAAAAAATACTTTTTAAAATTTTGGTTGAGCCACTGGATATTGACTCTCTGATACAACAATTTAGTCAAATAATGAAATCAATATGTAGAAGGGCAGAACTTCCCTTAAAATCCCCAAACATGGGGCATTAGCTTAATGGGGGGCTGAGCAGTACAAGAAAAAAATACTATAGGTAGAAAGCTGATGACACTTGTTATGCCACTGCCAGTGAAAACGTGGATGGCAGGCTATTGGCCTGTGTATACTTTGGCACTCCAGGAAAAAAAAGCTGGAGAAATCCTGTAAGTAATCCTTGCTGTTAATTACCCTTATTGTTTTTAGAAAGGTTTGCAACAGATATAAGCTTGAGTGAGAATGAGCCATGTTTCCAGAAGAAACAAAAGTGAACAGAACTTTGCTAAGGAAAATTATCTATGCCTGATTTATGTTGTATCACTTAAAATGGCAGAGGGGGCAGACATTTGGGGCTTAAGAGGATTAGAGAAATCAACTGTTTCTGTATTCCAGTAACAAGAGATAATGAATGTTGCTCAAAGATTCCCTCACATCTTCCCATTAGACTTTGCTGCCATATGTGAGCCCCAAAACAATCCTCAGGCCCCCAAACATGCACCAGAAGGAAGCATGCTGCAAA